GGGGGTAATGGAGAGAATTCTTTCTGGAAATGTCAAAGGAGAAACAGCAGGTTGTTGTTGCTGTTGTTGTTGTTGTTGTTGTTGTTGTTGTTGTTGGCTTGAAGGGTTTTTGTTCCTGTTTGTTGGAGGAGGGTTTTTTAGACCGTCATAGGTGGTGGGTGGTTGGCGGGTGCTCTGGTGTGGTTCGCTTCTTCTTTCCTATCAAACTTCTGTCGTCCTTATCTCCCCTTCTTCTTTTTTTATGTTTGTTACTCTCTTGTAACACCTCTAATCTTCTAGCGCTCATATGACCTTATACAGTTGCGAGCGCCGTAAAACCTCTACTAAGACTAACTAACTAAACTTAGAAGATTTGGTTAGTGAGGGTACAAATTGTGGTACACGCAAGCGGGTATCTATGAAGAAAAAGGGAAACAAAGAACAAACAAACGAACAGACTGACTGACGAACTGACAGAATAACAGGCAGACTGGGGGAGACATAAAATATAGAAGACATGAATTATGAAAAGTTCCTGCGCCGTCAAAACCAAGCACGATTGAATAAACATGGCCGTGATTAGGAGAAAAGCTTTGAGGACGTTGGATCATAACGGAAGGCGTTATTGGCTTTGTGAAGTTTGGACCATAACGGAAGGCGTTATTGGCTTTGTGAAGACAGCGCCAATGAAAAGAATTCATAGCGGTAGACGGAGCCAATAAAACTTGTTGACTGTCGAAAGTCGCTTCGGGAATTGGTCGAGCATTGTGTGTGTGTGGGGGGGGGGGTGAAAAATGAAAAGACAGGAAATTGTAAAAAGAAAAAATGAAGAATCGGCGAGAAAGAAGAGGAGAAAAAGTAGAAGGAAAAGTGGGAAAAAAGGTTGGAGAAATAGTGGAAGAAAGAAGTAGAAGAAAGAAGTAGAAGAAAGAATTAGAAGAAAGAAGAGAAGAATGGAGGGAAAGAAAGAAGAAAGGAAAAAATAGAAGGAAGAAAGGAAGAAAAAGTAGAAGAAAGAAGTAGAAGAAAAAGTAAAAGAAAGAAGAGAAGAAATAAATAAAGAAGAAATAGAAGGAAGAAAAGAAGAAAGAAGAGGAGAAGAGCAGTGAGATAGCGCCCTGAATCGTAAGACCGGAAGGATCGGGTTTATCACGCATGACGTGTGACTCACAGGCTGGAATTTCCGTTCCCAAAAAACATTCGGGGTATCCTGTGGATTTCTGAGGCGTGATTCCCAAATCTCTCTCATAGGGCGCAACAGATGGG